CTGACTGTGACTTATGAAGCAGGGGAATATACCGAACAGAAATTCAAGGCAGAGAAGACTGGAGGAGGCCCAGTCATACCTTCCCCCAACCTAGACACTGATCTGGTGATGGCGTGCGATTGCTTGGCTGATGTACTCATAAAGGCATATAAAAATCCCAGTGGGTCTTCTTGCAGATTCAGAAAATTCGTTTTATCATTCAAATTCCTGCATGACAGTTCAGATGCAGATGGATATTGCAAGATATAGCAAATTGATCTCCCCGAAGGACACCAGGCATAATGAACAAAGAGAGGCGAGGTTGCTTGAGAGGTGTCCTCCTGGCCATGAAGGCAAAAGGTTGGTCGATGAACCTGCCACAATTCTTGATGCATCCGGTGCCATCATCACATGGTACCTCCCAGATGCCCTGACCGACACCACCCAGGTGTGTAATATACATTGTTACTCAATGGATATTGAATATCAAATGGAACCTACAGAAGGAAATCAGGGAGGCCACCGATTTGCTCACTCCAAGCCTCGAAAAAAGTGTAAGGGCTGATGGCATTTGGCGAACTAATCAAAAGTGGTTCAAACGGGGCTCGGACGATGTTGGCGCAACTCCCAGATGTATCAATTTATCTCCGGCATGGTTTCAACAGGGACACGAGGTAGGATCCCATGAGATGGTGATTCCGGCAGTCATACTCACCAATCCCAAAGACTATGTCCGATCTGGAGGTATCTGCATCATTGAAGGGACCTTCCTGTGAGAATATCCTGAAAGCCATTGCAAGGCCAGCAGCCATCGCGTCCACGGCACTCAGGGTCATGCATCCTGAGCAGTACTGGGCAGGGTTGCGAACCTTGTCCAACCTCGGACATATAGCAGTAAGCAAGGATCTGCCACAGATGCCGGAGGCCCTGCAGTACTGGGCATCCGTGTTTAACACCCTCTCTATCATTTCCAATCGGGAAACCCCCAATCATCGAGACTATTTGTCTATTGCTGAATGCTTCGACATTCTCACCACCGTGGGGAACTATTCTGATGCTCGGATGACAATGCCAAGCCTTCAGCTGGAGTTCAAGTACAATTCCGGCTGTATGATTGCGTTTTCCGGAAGGATTGTGAGACATGGAGTTTATGATGTGGAAGGGGATCGGATTGCTTGGGCATGGTATATGAGGGATTCTGTTCACATTTACGCTGGTGTTCCATCATGTGGATGGGCTAGTGTGGATGGTCCATACAGTGTGTGAAAGATCAAACAAAGAGCAAGCATTGTGACCTATATACATTCCAACAAATGAATACCATGTACCAATAGTTATCTGGACCTCAATACTCAATTTTGAGCATTTGCAAAGTGATATATGGGACTGAATAATTTGGATGCCAGCCTCGGTATTCGATAATTGGAACTCGGTGTAGAGACTCATGCCTCTCATTGTGCAATATGGCAGTTTTCACTGGGGAGTACATGGCACGAACTTGTAGCATCACTCTGTGTGCTACCCGCAGCTATCTCTATATGAGGCGCAGCTTTCCCGCGCAACGCGCGCCATGCGCGCGTACCTTTCCCGCGCTTCACGATGTATATGCGCGCGCGCTTTCCCGCGCTGTAGCGCCCTATAGCGCCAGCCATCCAGAAGCATCCATCCACTGTCCACCAAGTTCCCTAGTGCGTATATTTCCATTTCTCACATTTGCATATTGTTCCATCTTTATTTTTATCATGGACCCTTACTTACATATATCTTTACATACCTTACTCGGTAGCGCTTCGGCTCCGCATGACAGCGCTTAGGCGCCATACTTAAGCGCCAGCAGTACATACTTACTTACAGACTTACTCTCCCACCAGAACGACAGAGGACTTACTGGTTACTACCCACTATTCACCTAGCAGAACATAGTAGAAATCTATTTGTTTACACCACGCATCTCTCTTCTCTTGTCTTACATCATACCATCACTTAAGCAAACTCACTCTTACTCTCTCTCATATCTGTATACACGCGCACGCTTTCCCACGCTTCGCGCCATACACGCGCGCATTCCCGCGCCTTGCGCGCACCTGCGCTTTCTCGCACTTCGCATTGGCCAACCAGTAGCGCTTTCAGCGCATACCTCTAGATCCTTGCTGCACTCACTTCCCCTTTAGGGTCGAACGCACTTGTCGTCTCAAGTATAGCAGACTAGGCAACGCGCGACCTTACAACATTTATAGATACAACCAGGAGCATTGTTCGTGCCTCGCTGTATCGTTGAACCTTCATCGGGACTTGACATATGGGAGTCCCGAGTGCCGGGGTACTGAGTCCCGAAACCCGGAACTCCTCACTTGATATTTGAGACTGGGAGAAGATGTATAAATATGCTCGAATTAACATTTGTGATTGCCGTACACATTTGACAGAACCCTGAACCACGACATTGTGGACTTGGGACTCGACACTGTTCTGAATACCGAGTCCCGGAAGCCCAGGTCCCAAGTCCCGAATTTCGGAGTTCGGGGTTTGGCGACCCGGAGCTCGGCAACTGTGTTGGGTGTCAGGGTATCGGGAGCATTGGAGATTGCATGTGTCAGTATTTTGCGTTTCATGGTTCATGTTTGGTGATTATGGAATCAGGCGTCAGGGACTCGGTATTCAGAAGTGTCGAGTCCCAAGTCACGAGCTCCGAGTCCCGAGTCCCGAAACCCACTGTGAGGGACTCGGGACTCGGAGCTCATGACTGGGGACTTGACACTGTTCTGAATACCGAGTCCCTGATGCCCGATTCCATAATTACCAAACATGAACCATGAAACACAAAATACTGACACATGCAATCTCCAATGCTCCCGATACCCTGACACCCAACACAGTTGCCGAGCTCCGGGTCGCCGAACCCTGAACTCCGAAATTCGGGACTCAGGACCCAGGCTTCCGGGACTCGGATGCGAGATTTTTGAATGCATAGAATATTTTACATCTTGTATACAATGAAGACTGAATGGGACTACACTCCTTTGCCTTTCCTCAATTTCTCTAACATGTCAGTGTACATCTTCACCTCTGCCATCTTGGCTTTGATGCCATGATCTTGCTCCTCCATCAATGCTTCCATGCATTCTTTAATCCACCTCAGTCCCATAAGTGGTGGAGTCGAAGTGTTTTTCAACTTCTCTGGAAGAACCAAAGCATCATCCTCAACATTGAGCTAGAACAGATAAGTCATCAATCAAGGCAATTCAGCTAACATCTTACCGCCCAATACTGGTAGTGAGAGACACAGGAAGCCATTATTTCATCCCACTGCCATGGTTGATCCGGGATTGTGGTGTTTCCCATCCACCATGGACATGTATATTTGAACACAATCCAGGACAGATGTCCTGCAATTGCCTCATCATCAAATGCAAGGAGGTGGAATGAAAAGACGTTGTCCGGAACCGTGTTCCAGGTTAGCATGGGATACAACTTAAGGATATAAGCGACAGGGACCGGAAGAACCGACACGATATTCTGTGAAGCGGAGTACTGCAGGAGTGGTGTGACAAAAGTCTGCTCAAATTCTTAGCATTGACCAACAAAGTCATCAGGGCAGTGGTAACATACATTCATCTCCCATTGCAGCCTGGCTTTAAAATACATGATCCGGTCAGAAGATAGACCATTGTTGGCAGCTTCCATCTGATATTGAGAGATGCATGCACGGACCTGTGATCCAGCCATTGTCAATGTGCAGGAAATAGTTGCAAGGCTCAGCTTCAGGGGTCGGTAATGGCTTCTGGCATTCAGAGTGCCAGAAGTGGATGCAGGAGTTGCAGGCATGGCTAATACAGGACTATGGCACTGGCAATGCAAGTGAAAGATGGTGAAGATGTGAAGATAAGAATCACTGATGGATGGATACGAAATTCAAACTCCGACATGGGCTGACCCGGACAATTCCCGGGCCTCAATTATGTATGTGGAAAAAGGGACTTCATGAGAAAACAATGTTCATTCATCTCCAGCCTCTATCAACACGTTTTGTAGGTCTTGAAAAGCTGCCTGCACATCCTGCACGAGCAATGAATACATTTGGGATTGCCTTCCGGCGTAGCATCCGTGACCCGGAAGGCGTTTCTCCAATGATTCCTGCATGTGGTCGCCCCATTGGGTTGCTTTCCACAAAAAGAACTTACATGTCCAATCCATCTCCAATTTGACCAATATCATTTCTTCCCTCCATCGATCTCGTAGTGCCTTTGCCCTGAGCCAATGGACTTCAGTAAACTTGGCATGGGTCCAGTCAGGTAACCGTGGGATATGACATGCAAGCAGGAACTCACATTCCTCATTCCATGATTGATCAGGACCCCCGAGGTCGACTTCAACAGACCAAAACCAAGCCAAAGATTCATTTCATTGACCTCGGGCATTTGGGTCACCCACTGCAGTGCTGATTTTGAGTTGCTCGCGAAGCAGGGGTTTGTATTTCTGAAGCTGGTCTTGCCCCGGCTCAAGTTTCATCATTTGCTTCCTGGTCTTTGTATATATGCTGGCATGGAGGGAGACTGCCTGCTGCACCGACGTCACCTGGGACCAAGCTCGAGTTTTCAGGGCCTGGGATTTGGCCTGCCTAACAGGTTGTTCGGAACAGGATGGCCTTGTTGCAAAGGTAAATGCGGAGATTGTGAAGGGCATCATTGGCCTGCCCTTCACGAAGCGACATCTCCAGGGGAATCAGATCCTCTGCCATGCATCGTCTGCATCTATCAACCCCCAGGTTTGATGGCAACGGGATTACAGTGAGCTCGGGAGAGTTTGTCCATGTATGAGATGTCTCTGTGAAATCCGCCGGGTCATCATTGAGATCATCTAGAATGTCTACGTTCAAGTCCTCAGGTTCATCATCTGCATCAAATCCCTCCCCGAGATGTGTTAGAGCAGACCGAGCAAATCCATCTATCTGGCCTTGGAGCCGATCGCGTTGACGGGCGATGTCTAATCTCTGTGTCTCGGTGGATCTTCTTCCTGATCCTTCAGACCTCGATGAGCAATGCAATCTGAGCCTCTTCAATTGCTAACCCTGTTGATATCCACGTCGCCACAGATCTGCGAGAGGGTGCTGCATTGCGGGCGTTACCCTCCTCTAATAATCTAAGCTCGATCTCCTTTTTGCTAGGTGCTGAGTGCAATATTAATTCAGACCTCGATGGAGACAATGGAACTCAACGTACCCTTTTTTATATTGATCTCATATTCATCCATCGCCGAAGGATCATTCAATCTGCTTGACTGAGCTATCCTCTCCCTGGCTAACCATTCTGTCTTCAAATGTGAGGGTGCTGCTTCATCGAGTCTGTCAAATGCCTTTCCACTTTCCGAGATGCCATTCCTCGCCAGCTTGTATTTCCGGCATAGAGTCCTTTTCATGCAAATCATCTTGCAGAAATTGGAGTCATTCATCTGATAATCAAGGCATTCCTTTCGGTGGGGAGATGACATTCCCCGAGCAGCAGGGGAGATCAGATTGAGCCGTGCCCATAGCGTCTCCATGATCTCTCCATCGATCCGACCAATGCCTTCAATAAAGTTAGAAGCATATCGCACATAGCAGCTGTCCTGATGGCCATGAATGTGCCACAACCCAATTCCGGGAATGATGGTTAGTTGTGGTGCCATTTCTAGAAATCGACTTCGATCCACCCGAACCCGAAAGTGTTTGTTGTATTGACAATTAATATCATAGAAGGTGACAGCCCTGGTGATGCCTTCCATGTTGTGCCAGGAAGCCTCGCAAAGGGCGTAGTCCATGTTCATTTGTCTGCAAGTGACCCATGGTTAACTCGTGAATGCTTAATGGTGGATGTGGCTTGCCTTTCGCCTTTCTGAAAATCCACCATGGAGTGAGGGACAAAGCAACCGTGTCTGGCACAGGCAACTCCTCCGATACCGGTGGACTCCAGCTTGTGCCGAGCAGCATTAGCTTGATTTACTGCCTGGTGGTTGTTGCAGCTTGATTTTTCCACTGTGTCAGCAGCCTCTGCCAGATGCATTTTATACCTGTCCTTTCCTACCATGAATCCAAGCCCATCGGACAGCCAACCTTCATCGAATGGCTTAATGGGATGCAGATGTTCCGCTTTGAAATTTCCGTCCATCACAAATGACCAGGTGTATTTCCAGCTTGGATCGCTAGTATTATTATGGAGGCCACATTGGTTGAGAATAGGACTCACTCATCAAGTGATTCATCCTCTGACAACAGCACATTAATCCCAGGCTGAGGACATGCCGGGCAACATAATGCGAGTTCTCCTGTGCTCGGGTTATCAGAACAATGGCCAAAGCCATGCCATTTCATTGTCTTCAACTGCCTCCACTGTCGAGCGACCCTCATGAGCTCTCTGTATCGGTCCTTGCAATGTGCTTTGTCAATATGATGTCCAGTAGATGAAGAGGGTAAGGCATTACTGGAACAAGGTGTGGAAACATGCTGGAGGTCATTCTCCGGAGCTTGCTGTAATAGTTCATCGCTGAGGTGCCGCATTCAAGGCTGTCCAGTAGAAAATCATTGAGCACTCTAAAGGTGAACACAGTCTTTGGCCTGTTGAAAGATGCAGGGAAAGGAAAAATCTGTGTCGAAACATTTGAATGTCCGGACTCATGGCATTCGGACATTCACAGCATCAAACCTTCAGGCAATGAACTCCGGACTTGTCCACAATGACCATGGTGTTTTCCTTTGGCTGGAACTCGGGTCCGGACACAAATGGCAGATCTTCAGGCTCAAGCAGGTCTTCAGGTTCATCTTCTTCAAACAAATTCCACCGATCGGTGACCACCGGACATTGTTTGCCATCATGGCCAAGGTGTATAATGAGTCCCACATGAGCGAGACAACTCCGCTCGAAGAATCGCCCATTCCATTGACTGATCCAGTGGAAAGGATTGCTACAATGTTGACTCCTGCAACAGCCCGTGCAATAGAGTGGCTCGCCAAGACAATCTTGACATTTGTACACCCCATCCTGTTGGCAGATGATGCATCTCCTGTCTTCCGGTGGAGCTTCTCGATCGAGGAGGTGATGTAGATATGATTCCTGCCTTGGCAGCCATTGCCTGAGGTAGTCATTTTGACTCTGTATTTTTGAATGCTTAGCCATAGTTTGAATGACACTCCAACATTGTACATGAACTTGCCATGGTTTTTTGGAGTTGCAAAGGCTCAAATGAGCCTTGGTCCTGCTCGTAAGTATTGTCAGTGTGGCAGGAGTATGCGCAGGAACAGTTCGGTGAGTGTTTGAACCATGTATACCAGATTGAACATGTTGAGCATCACAATGATAGGCTCCGTGGCACGGGATGGAGGACGTCAGGTCAAGGGAGGTCGAAAAAGAACTCGAAAACCAGCTTTCAAACTCGAAATGGACGGGGAGGGTATGCCACTCCTTCCCGACATCACGGACACAAAACTTGAGGAGAAGAAGGCCATAGTGAGGGCCTTTCTTACATCGCACTATCGTGAGTTTCTCGTCGCATCATCTGACAAATTGTTCAATGCATGGACACAGGGATATGTTCCGGAAAGGACAAGGCGGTTGTGCCATGGAGTGCCATTGTACAAAGTCAGGATGACTTCATGGCCCGGACGTATCTTCCGGCGGATGTTGACTTGAAGGAGCCTTCGAAGCTGCAAAATTGGGACACGACTGCCTTGCTCCATTTCTGGCGTGCTCGGCAGGAAACAGGCGAAGGTCCCACATTTCTGTTCAAAGCATGGAAGAACAATGATGGGGACATGGTACCATCTGTCATATCTGGCAAGTCGCCCTCTCCTCAGACTCATATAGTGAGAAAGCAGCAGAGGGTTACCATCCGAAGGCCTCGGGATTCGTCGACAGAAGCCGAGAGTGATAAGGAGAGTGCCACTAATCATACCGAGGATGATGTGGATAATGACTTGGCTGACGGGAGAGATCCGCTGAAGAAA